CGACGCTCTTCCGATCTCCCCAAAACCCCAAAACCCCATAAAATCAAAATAGAATAAAATTCTATAAATAATTATTTGATCTATTTATAATTAATTGTATTTATCAGTAATCTGGCCATCTTTAATATCTAATTGTCTTGGGAAAGTTTTCACAAAGACATCTAGATCCAATAAAATCACAAACTTCTCTATCACTGCCAAGTTTATTAATAAGATTCATGCGGCTTTAAGGAACTTTACCTGATGCAAAAAACTTTAAGAAGTTATGAAAATGTATGTGTGTAACTAGTTTCTACTAGTTAACATCGAGATAGTGTTCTTATTCTATAGTGAGTCCTTGCATATTGTTGATGATGATAAAAGGATTCATTACTTCAATATAGGCTTAACTTTCTCTGGATAAAGCCATAATTATACCCCACAAATGCAAGCCATGATCACTCCAAAAAATAATCGTGGTATTTTCATCTTCCATTTCCTTCAAGAAATTAGCTAAAGGATCATCTAGGTATTTGATGACCTCAATAGTGCCTTCATGCATATCCATAAATGTCATCATCATCATTTTGTTTTCAGTCGGATAGGCCTTAAAAAACTCTTTGGAGTACTCAAATGGGTATTCGTAAGAGTCTCTCTTATATAAGCATCGTCTAGTAGATGAATAAGGACCTTAAAAATCATTATCAGCTGAGTTATAATCATATAAATTAGGATCACAAGTTGAAGATAATCCTTCGTGATCTGTTGGGGTATTCTTAACATACTAATTGTAAAATGCTTTTTATGAAAACATCCCAGTTTCGCAAATATTTCCAGTCCATCCGGTTATAAAACCCTAGTCTTTGAAATTACTAAATAGATGATCATAAGGCTCCTAGGGTGGTGGAATCATTTTAATATCATCTTCATCTTTAACTGGTGGATTTTCTACAAAATCTTAAAGAGTCTTTTCATATAAAAAAGGAAAAGCAGTCTCTTGAGTTCTTCCCCAGAAAGCATGCAATCTAAAAAATTCTTTATGATCTCTTTCTCTGAAAAATTGTACTGATTTAGGAAGCTTGGCATGAAGTCTCTGTCTCGATAAAGTGTCTATAAAAACTAGAAGAATATTTTATCTAAGATCGCCTCTTTATACATTCTTAGAAATCTCTTTTCTCTCTTATGCTAATGTTTCATTTCTTGGAACTGTTATAATCATTTTTTCATTTCTAGTGTCAACTATAACTTCATGATTATTTGCTATGGCTTCTTCTAGTGAATCATATCCTTATGAATGTTTTAAAATTTCATGTGGAAAAGTGCTTAAAAGTCTTTAGTCTTCTTTAAAATATTTAGATAACGGATGAGCAATGTAGGCTTTATCAGTGTGATAGTATTTTTCAAAATAGCCAATCCTATTAACTTAATATTCACACTAAAACTCTCTGAGGTAGCGAGGGAGGTTAATGACTCCATCAACCATATCCATAGGGCAAATATTAGGTTCGGGGAATATACAAGACTACTCATTACTTTGATCTAATTCCTAAGAAATACCTTTGAGCCAGTTTTCACAACTACTCAAGACGAATTTGAGATGAACATATCTTCCAACTGATAAAATTAGAAATGTCAAAATTAGAAAGGTTCTCATACTGCCAAGAGCTTATTTTGTTCTATCAATCAAAAATTTGCATAATAATGTACTACTATAGATTAGCAAAAGCAATACGAATATAGAGGTATATACTCCTCCTATATTTTACTAGGTGACTGTATTGAATGTAAATATAAGCACCATTATATTGATGAAAACAAAAGCAAAAATTGCTTAATCATATTGCATTCTATATTCACTCCTCAAATCTCCAAATCTTCTATGTAATTCAAATATGAAAAGTAAGCAACTAATGATATGCATAACAACTCGATAAGGTAGTTTTGGTATGTGATGATATAAAATACAAACATTTCTGCTCTCCTCATAGCAATAATCACTCTAAACCCACAGATATAGAATATTTGCAATGATCATTCTAATAATTATTCTCAAGAGCTTTAGCTTAGATTAGCTGATCTTGCCATGTTAAACATTTTAATAAATCTTAGAATCAAAGTTTTGTGATTTTATTTAGACATATTGAAACATGTTTGATTTTATCTAACTAATTGATTTTTAATCACCTATAATTATATTTTATAATCAACTTAATTTGCAATATTTTATTAGAAAGGGGTTTTGGGGTTTTGGGGTTTTGGGG